TTAATATGTGAGAGTGTTTAAAATGAAACATCAGGTTGTCATCAGCGAAGGTGAGTCCTGGTGACAGTGAGAAGATTTACTGTAACAATAACAACAGTCTGAGTCGGTTCAACCACAGACTCTCCTCAAACAGAACAGAAATGTGGTGAAAACAGAGAGAACGGGGCCTAGAACCAGAACGTTCTGCAGCTCCGCCGGCCTGTGACGACCACACACACACACACACACACACACACACACAGACTAATAAAACGTGTTCACTTCACTGTGACCATTTTCAATTTAGCCTGAGAAGAAAAGTACACACTACCACCACACAGTGGCCACACGGCGACCGCAGGTTTGGCCGCGCGACGCTGGATCAAGGAGTTTTAAGAAGCTTTGGAACAGACGCCAGGCCACAACCAGGCTCTGACCACTAGAGGCCTCCACTGAAAACATGAAGGCTGCCGCCCAGAACCGCCGAAACAAATCACTACATCCACCCGGGTCCACCGCTGATACACCCCCCCCCACCCCCCCGGGTGAGATCATCCGCCCCGGACACTGCAGTAACCACCAGATGATATCAACACCAGCGCGGCCGTGATGGAGGGCGGTGTCAGGAGGAGAAGACGAGGAATGTGTCTGGACAGAGCTGTGTAGGATTAACGTTACAGCCGGCCGCGCCGCCAGGCTCCTCATTTTCTCCTCATTTTCTCCTCATTTTCTCCTCATTTTCTCCTCCTTCTCCGTCTACGCTCCACTTCCTGGCTAAACACCGGCCAACCTTTCATTTCTCTTCCTCTCCTCGCTCACTTTTCACCGCTGCCGCTCTCCGACGTCCAACCAAACTGTGGAGACTCCACCGTCCCAGCAGCCAAAAAAACCAAATTCCTAAATCAGTGTGCTCTAACGCACCACCCAAGTTAATTCCCCTCCAGCTGCTCCAGCTCCAACCACAGAATGAACCAACTCTCACTTCTTCTCCTCCTCATCGTTGTTGTTGTTTTAATGTCCACTGTTTTCTCTCTTTCCATCGCTGCGTTTCCCTGATGGAGCTTAAAAAGAGCTGAGGAAAATAATCACTTCCACATGGACAGAGACTCAGCCAAGAGACGCCGCCAAACACACACACACACACACACACACACACACACACACACACACACAGAGAACCTTGCTGCCAGCCTGAGCAGGTAGTTAAAGTCTGAGCGACAGCTCTGACTGAGTGAACGCCAGGAGGATGAAACGTCAGAGGTGGATCAGATCAGCTGACAGGGACGTGTGTTCACACCTTCATCCAGTTTCATGGGGTTTTTTTTAATCATTATTTATTTCTGTATGTTTGTTATGAACGGACCGACACGTTGACGTGAAACTAATCACCTGGTTGTTCAGAGTTCACTCAGTAAAACAAACCTTAAGAAGTTGAAGTCAAGAATCTGACGACACGATATGATGTACTGAGAGACTCCAGTCACTGTGATTTACTGAGGTTGGTTTTTTTTTTTGGTCAACATATGTCGAAAATGTTAACACGTCTTTGAGAAATCTGAAGAATGAACATTTTTAAAATTTAAATCATTGAAGGGTTAAAGGTTAAAGTTAAATGATTTTTTCTCTGATCCCAAAACTGTAGTGGACACAGGAGCCGATCAGCCTCATTCACTGCTGATGTAATAATAATATTAAAATTAAAAGACTTTTTGTCTTCCAGATGTCAAAGGTCGTCAAAAGTCTGAACTAATTCTCAAATTATTTCTAGCTCAAAGACCTGGGACGGAGAATTAGTTCCTCAGTTCCTGCAGAGCACGAACAGATCAAGTCACCGACGCCAAAGAAAACCAACATTTACCGAACAACAACATCACAGAACATCACAGAACACCCACCGTCCATGTTTGGCCTCAGTGGAGTCGGACCAGGCGCTGGAGGCCGTGATGTCAGAGTCTGGGATGGTGCCGTCCTCCATCCCCAGGGCGTAGCGACACTGAGCTGCAGAGAACCAGAGTTTTATTAGCACAACTTTTCATCCTGGCTTCAGTCCAGGATAAATAAAATATTTCCATTAGCGTGACAGCAGCCATTATTGGTACAAAGTACATGTCAGCTCTGCAGAAACGTTCAGATTTCAGACACGGAGGAGGAGGAGGAGGACGAGGAGGAGGAGGAGGAGGAGACCAGAAAACCTACGTGGAATTTTTCAAAACTGCTGAAATAAAACCAACAAGAACCAAACGACGGTGTTTGACTTTAAATCAGACTGAAGACAAACAGCACCACACGACCAGAATCACCAGAAGAAGAAGAAGAATCTACAGCAGCAGGGGGGGGGGAAGGGGGGGTGAGGAGGGTGGGTGACGAGGAGGGGGGGGGTCAGGGACAGTGATATCTTCACAGGCTGAACTGTCAGGTTGTTCTGATAACAGGGTCCGGGTCATCAATCAGCCAACGAATCAGGATTCTGCTCCGACACCAGGTGGTCGTCATGAAGGAGCGAGGAGCGAGGGTTGTCGTCCGACCGTCGTTGTCCAACGGTTGTTGTCCGACGGTTGTCGTCCGACTCCGTCCACTCGGCTCATGTTGGTCAAACCTGTTCCTTCCTTTCCTGATGTTTTGACTGACA